CCCATGGTCATAATTTCCAAGTCTAGTGATTTTCCCCAACCAAAATACAAGTCAAAAACACCATTACAAGCACCAGGAGACAGTTTCACGCCCTACACCTGCTTGTATAATAAGAATGTATACATTAAAGTCATCCAGTCAATTTACGGTAATAATTGACTCACGCCAACAGTAATACAATAATTTAATCGACTCGCATAACGATTAGACATCTTTGTTCACCTGAAGATTGAAAACCCTAACGCTACCTGGGGGGGGGGGGAAAGTTAGGGTTCTTTAATCCAGGGTTGAACTGATATTGGCTTGATCCACTTAATTAAATCAACTACTGTATCCATTTGTCAACGTAGAAAAAAAGGTAAGGGCAAGTTACAGGTAGGATTATTATGCAATTAATTTACGCCAGTGCTTAGTTCCGTTGCTCTTAATGCCAGGGTGTTGCTGGTTCTACGGAATTTCTCTTAAAAACTGTAAACTTTGCTATTACTGTATTATCGTTTTGGTCATCCAGCTAATTTTATAAGGATTTTTAAGTTACCACCGTCCGAGAGAGGTTTAGGTTAGGTTAAATTATGGTTTGAACGATTCTGACCTACTTCCAAATAGGTGGATGACCGAAACGACAATTTTACCAATCCAAAGGGGGAAGCAAGACGGTACGGAATGAAAACACAATTCTAAAGCAGCATTGTGTGAAGCTAAACCAAACGATCCCAATACAGGTCGGGTTAAGTTGGTTAATGAGTGGTGTTCAAACTCGTTGTCTTCTTAATCCTCCCAACGAATTTACAGAATATTTAGTGAAGACGATACCAAAAATTATCACGAAAGAAAGTATATATATAGCTAAGCGTCTGAATATATGATACAATTACTTTCAATATACTCTACTGAAGGTTATCAGGATAAACCGTGGGCGAAAACCAGAGGAGGGTAAGGCAAGGACCTCGACAATGGCCAGATTCTAGGTAAAATATAGACACCTCAATAAAACCATGAACGAACAACCGCATCACTGTCAATAATTTGTAACACAGGCACCAAACGTTTTTATACTAGCAGTTAACGGATCGGGTGTCAGTGCAAGGAAAAACACTACACTATTCTGATATTTACTTTAGGAAGCGGCAACCAAACTGTGAACCCTGTTGGCGCTTCATTGAACGAACAAAAACGAACGAGCCCCTGGGCGACATGTGCTGTACAGAAGTTAGGCAGAACGCGGTGGTTTGTTCATCCTAAAATCAGACTTTTAAGTTCAATGACGGATTTCCTCCAAATCGTCCAAACGCTTAAGCTCAGGAGCTACGGCCTACAGTACTTGTCGTTTCCTGAATTCATCATTTTTCGTAGGTCTACCTCAGGTCCCTTAACGACAAATATCTAAATATTAAATCCCTAAAACCGCCACCTTTGAGGTGCCCTGCAGTATGTTCCACTGAAAGCATGTCAAAAACCTACTGTAAATTGTTCACTAAACAGCAACATAACTGATGCTCACATATATATTATCTACAATAAATATCAAACCATTAATAAAGTAACTTAACTTGCCTTCCCATCCGCAATGTTTAGGCCACCATGATAACGCCCAGTCGGTGAACTGCGTAATAACACAACTGTACGCAAATGTCACTCTCACACGAAAAACTGTTGTGGTTACGTTAACGGACCTGCGCAGAAGTGGGCCGCACCAAGCACTCTCAGTGTCAACAAACACCAGCTCGCTGATTGGCTGCTGCTCCTCACCCACCTAACCTCAACAATGTATGTGAAACTATCATCTAGCCTGAACGATTGTTAAACAAGGTGGTTGTGCCTAACGTCTTCACAAAAGCCATTTTAGGCCTGTATAATAAAATAATAAAACCTTTCACATTTATCAAGATGACTACAGTGTATTTTCCTAAACATTATGTATTGTTAACATCTAAAGAATAATGCGAATTGAAATCAGTTTTAGCTCCAAGTGAACAAAGACCTTAAGAGTTAGTATACTGATCATTACACAACACTGGTCTGCGACTGGTCATCTGGGAAAATTCATATAATTTTCAAAAGTCAAATTTCTTAAATATAACAAGCTAAACCCTAAAAGAATACACACTGAACATAATTCTTCAACCCCCTCCTCTGCCAGGGTACACCAGGAAGTGTCAAGGAGAAAAATGAAATCTTGACAAAACACACTTGATGTTTTCTTAAGTGGGACACTCAGTAGGAATCAACAAGCAGGGGTGTGATGAGCGTGTAAACCAGCTTATACTACTTCACTGTATTACGGTAGAGGGGGGGGGGGTAGGGTGTGCATGGCTGGTGTCCGTGAGCTGACTCAATTTCTTTCGTCTTGATTATAGGGTGCGGCCATTGTCGGACAACACTGATTTCCTTAAACGTTCTTATTGAGTGGATTGACGAGGTTGCATGGGTTTATAAATCCCGAATAACATAAATCAGGCTATAACTCTCAACGTGACACAAGCCGCCCTACGCTGGGAAGGATAACACAGTAATTACAGGGGATATATATCTTACTACCCACAGTCACACGTATATACCGTACGTGCCGGTCTCCATAATATAAATCGATACCACGAGGTCACCTCTGCTCACCACGGGAACCCCCCAAGAGCCCACCCACTGAACATTAACCATAATGAATAGGTTTAGAATACATATGCTGGTGTTAGCTGTCGGCTCAGTTGAGTTGGACAAATAAATCAATGGCCGGTAATGCATGAATAAAGGAATAATCATAATCCTCGATTGTTTACGTTAAGTCAAATGGGCCATGTTGGAGCAACGTGTGAGAGATCTTAGCAATGTCGGCGTCACCATCATGGTCATTTACAATACAGGTATAAGCTATACAGTACTAACATCTGTCCATCTATCACAAGCCATATATAATGTGTGTGTGTGTGTGTGTTTTGTATCTTCATTAGCAATAATAAGACATGCCAGACAGCTGAAAATATGATGGTTCAAAATGTGGGTGAAGCACGAAAGATAGGTGGGGTATGGTCCTTCCCTGGCGTGAGGGAGGCAGGAATGCCACACCGCCCAGGTGCTGGAAACACCCAAGACAACGATAATTCATGCTTCTGTTGTTATGTAACGGTGAATTCAAATACATTTATTCGCGATCTTATCAAAGGCAAGTAATCATTATTCAAACTGGCGAAAAGGTTAAATAAATGGATATATCAAATACCGCGAAAAATACGCCTCGTCAAATAGTTTAGAAGTGTGTGGGTCTGGGCATTTGAGTGAACGACTGAGATGGCGTGCCGACTATATTATGCCAGCACGATTTCTGACACGCCTATCACTTGAACAGTCACATTCAACTTATAAAATCCAACATAAAAATCTCGAGGAAATTATACTGCCTCTTTTGCTTAACGAATACGACAGAAAAAAAAGGTTGAAGAAGTTTAGGCAAAATACGCTGCTCCCCAAGAGGGCAACGAGCGAGGTGGTCTGGTGGACGGAAACAACAGGAACAAGAGACGGGGGATGCTGGACGCTCTCACCACCACTTTATTTTCAATTTCTTGTTCCCTTTTAATATAAAATAAGACCGTAATACAGACCTCCATGATAACACTATCAGTTATTACAATCAATCATGTATAAATAACAAACATGCGCAGCAATATTACAAAGGGAAAATTACCTCCAGTGGTAGGAAGTTGGAAAGCTCCGGCTGTGGCTCCAACGGGGAAGTTATCATCAGCGGGTGGAACAGACACACCGCCACCCCTGCCTCTACAAATACTTGTCCTTTTCCACATTTCCTGTAGTTCGGAGTACTTAATATAAAGCACTTCCCTCATTTTATTATGACTTTTACAACACGACAAGGGTCAAACCTGTCCAGTTGTATTCTTGACGATATATTCTCCAAATAATTAATGTTCCCACGATAACAGCGCGACCTTACTCTATTACGCACGTACCCAAGGAACTGGGAGTGAGGACAATGTCTGAGAGACGACTCTACAAGGGCAATTATAATAGGAACATTATCCATTCTATCATGAAGCCCTACCGTACACCAGGAAAAACCCCTTGTACTATACTCAATGAGGTTTAAAAATTACTGTATCAGGAAGGCCTACATGCGTAATAGGTCGCCACCTCTTACTTTTAACCCCAGTAGTTCAACACATTAAAAAAAAAATAGATTTAAATAATAGATATGTAACACGCCTCAAGTCCCACTGGGGTGAACCGATACACGTCACGGTAAAAAAGAAAAAAACGCACACTCTTACCAAGTCTTCATAACACGCAAACGACAAGTTGATCCAATATTCTAGACAAGATGAAGATTAAGGCGAGAGGATAAAGTTGAGACAAAGATGAGAGCACGGTCTTGGTCGGCTGGTCTTGCCGTCCGTCCGTTGACTCGCCAAGCGGTAGCCACCAAGTACAGCACATCCACCACTCCATCATATAACTTTAGGCCTACTTCACTTGTGGGCCAGTCAGTCTCATAATACTGGTGACTGACATAACGGATCCCAACTGGAGATCCTAACCTAACCTGCAAGGATTGGAACCCAGTCTTGATGTGTTCCAACCTTGATAACTCCTAATCGTAATGCCCTGATTAAGCTGGGACCCTTTTATCGCCGTACTACCCACATTACTGATATATATATATATATATATATATATATATAATTTTGCTTTACCAGCTTATGCTAACCCCAATATGTCTGTCAAATTCATAGTAAAACACTAACCTACTTTAAGCACCTGGCAACCATTCCTTTACATCCACAATATAAAACACAGTGATTATCAAGACATGGATAAAATACTGATACACTTGTTAAAAATATTGTACTTCCCAACTGAAAGAGATCCGACACGTGTATTACAAGGGTCAATACTAAATGTAAATGTCAATCACCAGAATCTGAACATTGAGATAGTGGTGTTAACAATCCATGCAAGGTATTAGAGAAGTACTATAGTTACGGTAGTACCTTGTGAGTACTTAACGACGGTTCTAAACACGCCTGAGAGCTGTTGAGAGCACACATGGGTCATAATTCTGACAAGGTGCTCCGACTGTTCCATCAGCTGTTGCGTCTCCTTCCACACCTTCTCCACACTACTGCTGCTGCTGGAGGTGATGCTGGAAATTTCATGGTGCTCTTGGTCACACAAATCCACAATGGCACCCGTCGCACCACACATCCTCACTACCCTAGGCCTATCCAAGTGCTAATCAGGATTCATAGTTACACATCATAATTACGAGTAACAGATCACATGGTTTGAAGATCGTAAGCACATTTTAAACACATATAACTGATTTTTTCTTTATATTTGGCTAGACCAGGTGTGTGCCGTTACCATAAACACTCAGTGAACCAAATGAACAGAATATCACTTTCCGGCAGACTTTCACAACTTAAAAACTTCGCTGTTATCACTCTGAAGTTATTTTCAGTACACTTATATGTATCCTGTAATTATTTGCGCACCATTTTTACGATTTTATCCAAATGCTCCAAAAATCGGTAGTTGTGAGGTAAAGGAGCGGCAGGCGGACGAGACGCGCGTAGTGTACACACTCGACCACTACTCAACACCCTCTGAGGCCACGACCACTGAGCCGCTCCCCCCAGGCCGCGCACCCAGGCCACTACGTCAGGCTTCGTGGGCCGCTAAATCACCTAAGAATACATATATATTTTTTAAAAAGAAGTTATATAATAAATTCATTTCATATCATGGTTATTCGTAATGTCTTGTTGTTTTGGTTCACCTTATGCAGTTTATGCTATATTTAGAAACCATTCTAGAACAGTTTCAGTGCGAAAATGTGTCGTGGATAAATAATTATTATTCTAAAAATTCTTCTTTCACCAAATAAAATAATTATCTTAATGACTGAAGTCTAGTTCATTGATAACTAAGCATACTTTAACCTAACATATAGAAATCTATTCATATGGTGGAACGTTGAACTCTTTACCTAATACTGACGCAAGGGCATGAGGAGGAACTTTCATCTAGCATGGGCGGATGTTTGAACACCGATAACACGTGGAAGAAACTATTGCCTGATAACATTGTAAGCATACTTGGGGATATAACCGGATTCTCTGGCAGGTTACTATACGGAACTAAAAATAGAAGTGACGATTAATTGATAAGGAATAGTTTTATCACGATTATTTTTATAAGATCATGGCGTAAAGTTTGTTTCACACGTATTAGATTCTCCAGTTAGGGAGTTTCCATCACATTACATAATTACCTTCACCACATTACGATTTTATGATACATATTGGACTATTATCATTGTAGTAGTTCATTGTAAAGTAAGTCCAAATTTTCAAAAGTTCGTACTCTGAATATTCGTCTTAACTGAAGATGTAAGAATGCAACTAAATGGTTTACTTAAAGCTTTAGCACAAAACAGCTAATGCAACGCCCCAAAACAGCTAGACTCTACCTTAACTAGATACGTTCACTTAGCATCTAGTTAAGGTAAGAGTCTCAGTGTAAATTTTTCTCCTAACTGAAACTAAGGGAACGTATCTAGTTAAGGTAGAGCCTTAGTGTTAATTTTGTCTCGTAACTAATGCTAAGTGAACGTCTCTAGTTAAGGTAGAGTCTCAGTGTAAATTTTGTCTCCTAACTGATGCTAAGTGAACGTATCTAGTTAAGGTAGAGTCTCAGCGTAAATTTTGTCTCCTAACTGATGCTAAGTGAACGTATCTAGTTAAGGTAGAGCTTCAGTGTAAATTTTGTCTCCTAACTGATGCTAAGTGAACGTATCTAGTTAAGGTAGAGTCTCAGTGTAAATTTTGTCTCCTAACTGATGCTAAGTGAACGTATCTAGTTAAGGTGGAGTCTCAGTGTTAATTTTGTCTACTAACTGGAACTAAGTGAACGTATCTAGTTAAGGTTAGAGTCTCAGAGTAAATTTTGTCTCCTAACTGATGCTAAGTGAACGTATCTAGTTAAGGTAGAGTCTCAGTGTTAATTTTGTCTCCTAACTGATGCTAGGTGAACGTATCTAGTTAAGGTAGAGCCTCAGTGTTAATTTTGTCTACTAACTGGAACTAAGTGAACGTATCTAGTTAAGGTAGAGTCTCAGTGTAAATTTTGTCTCTAACTTGCTAAGTGAACGTATCTAGTTAAGGTAGACTGATGCTAAGTGAACGTATCTAGTTAAGGTAGAGCTTCAGTGTTAATTTTGTCTACTAACTGATGCTAAGTGAACGTATCTAGTTAAGGTAGAGTCTCAGTGTTAATTTTGTCTACTAACTGATGCTAAGTGAACGTATCTAGTTAAGGTAGAGTCTTCAGTGTTAATTTTGTCTACTAACTGAACTAAGTGAACGTATCTAGTTAAGGTAGAGTCTCAGTGTTAATTTTGTCTCCTAACTGATGCTAGGTGAACGTATCTAGTTAAGGTAGAGCCTCAGTGTTAATTTTGTCTACTAACTGGAACTAAGTGAACGTATCTAGTTAAGGTAGAGTCTCAGTGTAAATTTTGTCTACTAACTGATGCTAAGTGAACGTATCTAGTTAAGGTAGAGCTTCAGTGTTAATTTTGTCTACTAACTGATGCTAAGTGAACGTATCTAGTTAAGGTAGAGTCTCAGTGTTAATTTTGTCTACTAACTGATGCTAAGTGAACGTATCTAGTTAAGGTAGAGTCACAGTGTTAATTTTGTCTACTAACTGGAACTAGGTGAACGTATCTAGTTAAGGTAGAGTCTCAGTGTAAATTTTGTCTACTAACTGGAACTAGGTGAACGTATCTAGTTAGGGTAGAGCTTCAGTGTTAATTTTGTCTACTAACTGAAACTAGGTGAACGTATCTAGTTAAGGTAGAGTCTCAGTCTAATGCTCCTATTGTTATTGGATGTTGTTTTTGTTGATTAAGCAAAGGTCAACCAGTCAGGTATTTTCTCTCATCTTCACTCAAGAGTTATAATCACAGCGCTGGGCTTTGTGAGTCAGACCCTTGAATATTATTATTAGTATTAGTATATATTTTATAAAGTAATACTGTATTACTTTAGAAAATATTTACATTTGATTTTGTTCAGGAGTATTATCATCTGGGCGTTCATGTCTACACGTACTGTATGTCTTCGTCCATGTCTACACGTACTGTATGTCTTCGTCCATGTCTACACGTACTGTATGTCTTCGTTCATGTCTACACGTACTGTATGTCTTCGTTCATGTCTACACGTACTGTATGTCTTCGTTCATTCTATGTCTACTGTACTTCGGTCATGTCTACACGTCCATGTCTACACGTATGAGTCGTTCATGTCTACACACTGTATGTCTTCGTCATGTCGTTACACGTACTGTATGTCTTCGTCCATGTCTACACGTACTGTATGTCTTCGTCCATGTCTACACGTACTGTATGTCTTCGTTCATGTCTACACGTACTGTATGTCTTCGTTCATGTCTACACGTACTGTATGTCTTCGTCCATGTCTACACGTACTGTATGTCTTCGGTCATGTCTACACGTACTGTATGTCTTCGTTCATGTCTACACGTACTGTATGTCTTCGTTCATGTCTACACGTACTGTATGTCTTCGTTCATGTCTACACGTACTGTATGTCTTCGTTCATGTCTACACGTACTGTATGTCTTCGTTCATGTCTACACGTACTGTATGTCGTCGTTCATGTCTACACGTACTGTATGTCTTCGTTCATGTCTACACGTACTGTATGTCTTCGGTCATGTCTACACGTAGTTGTGTTAGGTTAGCGTTAAGTTAGTTTTAGTTAGTTTAGGTTAGACTAGCGTAAACTTAGATTATGCTAGATTCAGTTAGGTTAGATTAGGGTTAAGTTAGATTAAGTTAAATTAGGTTAGGTTATGTTGCCGTTAGGGTGGTTAATGTTAAGGTGAATTACAATAACCTTGATATTAATAGTGAAACAATTTATTTAGCCGGAAGAACACAGATACAAAGTTGATAATCTTTAGGTGATCATGTAATGGAATGTTTCCCTCAAGTTATTTCACTCCTATAAACTTATTCATAACTAATGTACCTACTAACCCAGAACCCACGCTTATAAAATACCTTCATCGTAAAAGCAGTGTAACGTATCATAACAACAGCCCCTTCCCTCCCTATCACTTGCTACACTATTCTTGTGTCAGTCCCACCTACAATTTCAGCGTTTTTCTTGAGGTCTCGTTTCCCTTGAACCCTTACTCCACACAAAAAAGTAAAAGCAGAGGAAATGATGATAGATAGATATGTAAGCAAATAAAACCATAAATTTGAAGGGAATTTTTTTGTATAAAGTGTCAATCTGAAATACTATTATGTCGTCAGGATTGGATAAAAATTATTGTTCTTCATTTAGTTGTGATATAATTCTTAAGTTTGTTCAGCTTATGCAACTTTATGTCTATACATTATATTTGGATACGTTTATGAAAGTGATTATTATTATTATTATTGGTAATAGAAGTAGTAGTAGTCGTAATATAAATATAAATAGTCGTAGTAATAATAGTAGTGGTAGCAGAAGTAGTAAGTTCATGTGTCGATAAAGATATGTGGTAAAGAGAGCTATTGTACGCTTACACTATCAACAGTTGCTATCAGGGATCACATTCAGTTTATAAAAAATGTGATTGAGTGAGTGGTGGTGGTGGCGCTGTGAAAGTGAAGTACTGTACTGGTATGTGTGGAGCTTAAGGAGACGTTCTTGCAGGAGCTTTTCGTCTGTCTGGTGTTAAAGATGTCTGGAGTATTTCTGAAGTTGACCTGTTTGTCCATAAATTACTACATGTGTGTGTATTTACCATTTTATATTCTTGGTTGTTAATGTTACCTTTCTGACGTAACAGAGGTATGCACATACTATAAAACAAGTGATTATTCTTCAGCGTTAGGTCAAGCTACAGCCCGGCGTACTCCCTCCCTCCGCCTGCTTACTATTCACTAGCCATGTCGCCAACAACTCTAATGACGATTGACGACTTCTAATCACGAGCATAGTGTCCATCACCTCAGCCTACTTCACTCAAGGTTATTCATTTTAGACGGATAATGTGATGAAATTAATGAATATAGAAATAGATTATTTCTTTGATGAACACCAGTTGGCGTGGCTCATGGGGGAATGACTCATGTGGTGCAGTGATGCCGCAGTTCACTAGCCTACCAAGTCTCATGCCACGCTCCCTGCGTCTTCCTCTGGTATGACCTATATATTCACTCAGATGATGCCAAATGGTCTTAGCTATACACCTGTTGCAAGATGATTTAAACAGAGCTCTTACATTATCCTCAAACCCGTACAGTAAAATAAGGTGCTGTCTAAACACTCTCTCCCATATACCAGAGGCACCCAGTATCAATATTGGTCTTAATTTCGTGTGAATTTACGTTTAACTTAAAATTCTTGGGTGAGATGTATTGTTTAGGCTTTTCTACACTGTATAAGGTTCCAAGGTTTAACCAAGTTGAGTGACGTGAACTTGAACTTTACTTGATCATTCAATGTCGAAGGAACTGGTTATGGTACAGTCTTCACTTATGATTATTTTGTTACCAGGAGCTGTACT